GTGGTGTGCGCGGGGTGGGTGGAGAGTCGACAATCACGATGCGCTCGTTACGTGACCGGTGCTTGCGGTTGAGGTCCAATACCCTTTGGCCGTTTACGTATACTCCGGATTGGCGGTGCTTTCTCTCGCTCGAAGAAGATTCGCGACGAGCGCGGCCTCCTTCATTGCCCGAGGAAGTTCCGCGTGGTGAGCTCATGGGAGGAGAGGGCGGCATCTGCTGAGGAAATGGGTATGCTGGTCCGACAGGAGCATACATGGGTACTGGTGAAGGGTAGCCGACTGGACGCGGCGGGTGGTTGTAGATGACAGGGTTGGCGCAAAGGCGGCCGTTGCGGGAAGCAGAGCAAAAGGTGGGTTGCTGTTCCTCAGCCCTCCGGCCGTCGGGGTAGACGTAGGTGTAAACGTCGGTGGTGCACATCGTGTCTTGTGTAAACGTATGAGGGCGCAGCGTGCGCGGGGTTGGTGGTGAGGGTTGAACTACCTGCGTAACGAATGGAACTCGTCTCGCGGGTGTGGTCGATTGGGTAGAGGAAAGAGTCCTCGAGAGTGTTGGTGGACGTTGATATTCTCGATTGGAGTTGGCTGGACGACGAGCCCTGTACTTATAGACAATGGTGTTGTCGATATAGTGAGCTTCGGGGTGGTGATAGGAAGACAACGTGTCGGTGTTGTTGGGGTGAAGTTGAAGTGGTATGTTGGAGCTTGTAGTGAATCGAAATTGTGTTGTGTCTGACTGTAGGTGGTGTGAGTTGGTGATCTTTCAGGAGAAGATGCAAGCGAGGATGAGAGACTATATACCAGCTTGGGAAGGATTCAAGAAGTCAGGTGTTGAAGATTCTCAAAAAGGTTCTGCCTAAGTATAGAGAATGGATCGACTAGGTATGATAGATTGGGGTAGCGTCTATTGTCTAAGTGCGGGAAGCGTTTGGCAAAGTGTAAATAGTCCAAGTGGAGATGTTGAGCAGCGTGGGAACAAGTTGTCTCGAAGAGATTCCGCGTCTGAATTATATCGTCTGAGACGAAGAAGCGCGTTCTAATGGTGGTGGCATGGCAGACCAGGGGCAGCAAGTCGCTAGTACCCAGCGTCAGCCGCAAGAGACGGCGGAGGACCCAGGTATCGTGGGCCAAAGGTGCTGCAGGCCGTGGCATTGTGGAGATTTGAGGCCTTGTGAGGGTGGATTGCGCCTGGCCCATGCCCCCTCCCCTGTCAGACTGCTGCCTTCACGCACATCGCTAGAGGCCGATGAGTCTTTGCTCTTGGCCGCTAGGCCTCTTTCGTGCTCGGTGCTCGCAGGGGTGTTTCTCTTTCTTGGGAGGGGAGGGTCGTTGGAGTCCTCGGCCTAGGATGGTTCTTCCCCTCGCTGAACGTTTCCGAAAGAGCTCAAGTTTCCCTTCTGTCTCTTGCCCGCATTCCTCCGCTGGGGAAATACCTCTGGAAATATCGCACAGCCTCTTTTGGGGAGGCCTACTGGTACTAGAGGCGGTGCACGGGAGGTGACTTTTGGGACGTTGCCAGGGTGGGCCACCATAAGCCGTCAAAATGAGGGCGCTGGAGGGAGCCAAGGAAGTTCGACAGTCGTGACAGGCTTGAGGGCGCACAAGTGGCGCTTTCTTGTGTTCTTCTGATGTGTCTGAGAGTAGTCCTCAATTCCCAGCTATGCGGCCTTGCGCATGAGGGTGTGGTTGAGTGCTGTGGATGCGGCTCGTGTAAATTGCGCCGCGATGTTGGTTCCATGTAGTGGTATCTGGCTCACCGTAGGATGGAGAGGGAACCGACTGGCTGGTGGTCAGCGTCTCTATTTTTTTCGTCTGGGTAGAGGTTGTGGATGGTCGCCGTGGAGGTCTGGCGTTGTCGCAGCCTCGTGTAGAAGATGACGAATCCGGACTTTTGAGTGGGAAAGCCGCGAAACAATAATCTGGGCGATATGATGCTATTTTGGCTCCCAACTCGGTACCATCCTTCATGCCACCACTTAAGTGCCAGAGTGTTTTCCCCCGCTTCTTCATCTATTCGACGCGGGGAGAGGCACCTTGCGCGCGCCGTTGGGGAAAGCCAGGGTGACATGGACAGCGGCAATCGAAACATTTCGACTGCAGATTTGGCCCGTTTTGGCCAGGCCCGACCTGAAGATGTTGATTATCGAGAAATCAACATCGTTTCCGAATAAGCGACAGCCGCCGTGGTGCTCGAGTCGCAACGATCTTCTTTGTTCACTCTGTTCAGAATCGGTGATGCATTAGCCAATCATCCCAATTAAACTTGGCGAATGACACCTGAGTCACTTCGGCCTCGCAAGGTTTTCATGCAAGCTCTTTGTTCGTCTTCTTGCGCGACGCTACAATGCGGTTTCTCTGAGTGGCCGGTAGGACCAGGTCCACTTAGTTGACTTGCAGATGGGCTGGTGTGCATGAGGCCACAATTGAAGCAGTCGATCATCGGACTCTGGAATCTGGCCAAGTGGCTGCGGGCCAATTCGATAAACTCCACCTCGCGGGAACTATCAACGATAGTTTTCGTTGTCGCCGTCGAAGGATCGTAGGCTGCAAGGGGAGCCACTGAGGGCTTGACAAGGTTGGTGACGATGCTCGTCCCGTGGCGCGCACCGGTCCAGTACCAGGAAAGCGTTATGTTCGTCCCGCCAGTTCAGTCGGAATCTTGGCTGCGGAAAGAAGCATACTAGCATGGTTTGGCAGTGTTAGTATGCGAGTGAGACGGCTGTGCTGGTCACTAACGGCACCAGATTTGTTCAAGGTGCACACAGCCACCACAGCCTGCTTCTCAGTCGGACCAACCGATGCAGCCAGGCCTTGTTTCGTGCAGGTGGATAGCAAAAGAAGTTTGACATTTCATCACTTCAAACAATGACGAGGGGAGCGGGGTGCGTTTCTCTGCAAGGTCTGCAAGTGCTCCGAGAGGCTCAATCGATTCCATCGCATCGAATCGTGTCGCAGTGCAGCGCATTACATCGTGGCAGCAGCAATTGGAGTTGGAGTTGACATTGAGGGGGAGAGGAATTGGATGGAAGCTGCTGGGAGGTGAAAGCTCCGACCACCTGTTTTTTCCCCGGGCCGTCGCACAAACTCTTGGAGACAACGATACGTACCTCATCATTTCCACACCGCTCCCTTCCAGTTTTCACCTTCCGAATCCAACCGCCGCCAGCAGGCACCAGTCGCATTCTGCCTTAGGTAAGAACAAAATTCCCCAGATTCTCTTGATGACTAATACGGGCTCGAGGTCACCGATGCGGCTCACCCTAGACTTACCGAAGGTACGTATCTCAGTACCTTAAACGTCTGCCTGGACGGCCGTCATCTTGACAGAGCTCAGATTCCCACCTGTTTGTAGCCATCTCTGCTGGGTCTTGACAGCCTGTTACAAAACGAATTGGTCGAGGTTCCAGGCTCATAGGACTTGTCCACAATCAGCTTCTCGTACATGGCAGGCTCATCACTCATTGGCTCGTGGCCCGCGTCACCTCAAGACACCCACCACACCAGACGCGTCAACGCATCCAGGCACTCTCAAGGACTACCTCCGATCCTTCGCCGGCTCGCTTCTTGGAATCCAGTCATTACAGTCATATTAAACTCGCCACCAGTTGCCTAGCGATAGACGCGGTAAAAATTGCGTATCCGGAGGTCGACTACTTCCACTTCCACCTGAGCTGAATCAACAGGATCTGAATCGATGTTGCGATGCATCATGCCTCCTCACACGACCTGATTATCTCACCCCCGGATCTCCGAGAAATAGGTGGCCGGAGGGCTCCCGACCAGCTGACCGCGAGAATTCCCGCAAGGCTGTAGGATCTGCTTCCCTGAACCCCCTCACGTCTTTCTTGCGCAGTGCCTGGCACACACAGCCAAATATCGAAACCACCAGATTAGCTTCTCAGCCCCCATTTGGGGGCCGTTTCGATGTAGCCCATCGGAGGCCGCTCGGAGAGACTGGAATTCGCTGGAAAATATCTTCTTGACCCCGTGTTCTGAACATCCTTCTCTCATTCCAGTATCAAGAAATCGAACCGCTTGTGTCACCCACAATACACATAGCCGCGCGGAAGGGTCGCGACATCATCATCAAACAATTGGTGGCGTTCAACCAACCCTCCCCAGCCTTACGAGGCAGATTTACTACTCCGAAACGGACTTACCCATCACTAATATCATTCGCCAGACACAAACACCCACATTTAAGGCTGCTGCGAGTCAGGCCGGGTCTTCCGGGGCAAAGTACACGCACAAACTTGCCAAATGCTCGGCGCTCTTGGCTCGTGCGTTCTGCTGGGAACATGGTCTTTGATTGAACCGTTTCAAGACAGGGAACCCAGACTATTCTCGTCCCGACTGTGTTATGCAGATGAATTGACTTCCCCAGAATGCTTCTGGAAGGCTATCTACTAAAGACTCATCCTCGTCACAGCGTCGTACGAACTATTGACAGTCAAGCGGCTTGTGATGGGTTACGCCATGCCATCAATGCCGTGACACGCAATACGACAAAGCTTGCGCGCTTACGCGCATTATCGGTACTGCATCTCATTTAACCTAAGCTCGAAAATGCCTCGCTCTCGCAGTTCTGGGTCCTTGACATGACCGAGATACCGAAGTTTGCGTAGCTCTTCACGCCGCGGCGTCCGTTCTAGGTCCTTCTATGCCCGCGAGCTACTGTAGACTCTGCCAGGTACTGCATAGCCTTGCCGTGGTGCTTCGGAGGTGCCTACTGGCGTGAGAATAGCGGAGTGGAGGCTTCTTGTGGGTTTCCAAAGTATGAACCTGACGAATTTTCCAGCCTTCGATCATGCGAAGTGGAAGAACGCCATGCCGAACGGCGCTTCGTACCTCGTCACTTATCCATGTATTACTACCCCGCGAGAAAGATTGTGCCTTGCCTGACCCATGCTTTTCACTTCGTACAGAATTTGATGCTTGTATTACCTCTGCCTCCCAAACTGCCTACGTGAGCTATATCCCCGCAAAACAACCCAGCCATACGCCTATGCCTTGGCTTTCCCTGTGATAGACTGCCTTGGAGCGAGATTGAAAGTGCCATCGGCTCTCTTCACCCGAGGGTTCGTTTTCGTCGGCGTCAGCTCGTCACGCTTCTCTTGGACTGCTTCTTCGGCGCGTTTCTCCTTGAAGGGGCCTGCATCATCATCATCATCCGAGTCCATTCTGGCTTGCTTCGTTTGTGTCTGTCGTGGAACCAGATTGAAAGTTCCGTCTGCTCTCTTCACTCGAGGGTTTGTCTTGGTTGCCTCCAGTCCCTTCTTGCCCACAATTTCATCGCGTTCAACGAGTGGCATCCCCGCATTGGGGAGCGACTTGAACAAGAGTTAGTCAGGCAGTTTTGGTGGAGCAGACTGGAATCACAACTTACGGCTACTACAGCACCTGCGCTAGCAAGAATAAGAAGAGTCGATGTGAACTTCATGATGATGATTGGAGTGAGTGGGTTCTTGCTAGGAGCAGCTACTAGAAGTTCGATGTCGAATCGAGTGGATTGTGAGTGAACAACTGCCAAACGGACCAAACAATTCAAGGCCTAACTGGTTGGGTCCCGGGTAGGGTGATGGCTAAATACAACGAAACCACGAGGGTTGACTCTTGGCGCCTACCCCGAGTGGTCTATGCAGAGAGACGATGCGCAAGTTGTTTGTAGAAAGCCTCACTCTTGTGCCAAAGCGCCGTATCGCTGAAACGGTATTGGTGGGAGGAACGCGTACGGCACCGTGCATTGTAGGCCATCTTGGCTACGACTGGGTCAATAGTCGTGGAAACATACAGCGTAATGCCGGTAAATTCTTCGAAATAGCGTGAAGTTTAATGGCAATTGTCGCCGGAGGCTTTCCAAGCTATTGGGAGGCGGAATTTTGACATTATGCTGTGTGGCTGAGACTTCAATCCTGACGGCAAATCCATTCATTCGGCATTATATGGAAAAGGGGCATGGCATGCAATGAATGTCTCAAGCGTAGCTGACTCAATTACATCAACCCACTTGGACGATCTCCCGAACACTGGACTCTCCGCCTTGAACTCAAAGTGCCAGCGTTTAGCCGGACTGCGTCCTGGTGCATCTTGAAAATCGAGTCAACGAAATGCTTTCGTTGAACACGGATGAACCGAGGCGTAGTCTGATGTTTTGTCGCCGTCTGAAGACTGACTCGTGGCGGGCATTTTTGGGGAGATTTCGTAGAAACGAGGCCACTACGGATCGACGACAGTTTCAGGTACGCTGTTTCAGTGAAGAATGAAGGTCAAAGTCTATTCCGATGATGTTGTCAAGATCAGATGGCTGTTCATTGGGCCAGATGGTCTTCCAGCCCGCGGTAATTCGGTGACAGTGAGTGGCAATACTGCTTGGCCTTATCTCCTTGGACCTTGGTGATTGTTGTGCAATACAGGATTCAAGATCTGTGTTCGAGTTGACCCTGTAGAGCGATTACCATTGTAATATCGACACGGATACCACATACAATGGCGGCTCTGAAGCCCGTCAACCAGGGGATATGGTCTTTTCCAAGATTCCTTCCCTTCTTTATCCCGGTAGTTTCCCTTTACTTCCTGACGCCGATTCTAAACGAGACATGGTCATCCTGGGTACTATCTCGAAGCGATACTCACTTAAGCGAGCTTAGTCGGGCAGCATTGTCAGAAAAGTCATGGTTGAGTTCAGTCCAAAAGAGACATGAGTGGATGAGTGTGAACAAAGACTACGACTCGATACTGTCAGTAGAGTGTTTCCGGGTCGCAGTATCAATATCTGATTGTCAACTAGGTTTACAGCAAGAGATGAAAGTCTGCGCTTCTGGTATACCATCTGGGACCTGTTCCCAGCAACCTACACGTGTCCCTGGGATGTCCAACGAGTCGGCAAACTCGGCGATGGGGGGAAGTGGATATGCGGAATGAGTAAATACGAAAGGGCGAAACCTAAACCTAGAGCTTCAGAGAAACCTATTCGCATCTACAGCTTTGGTATTGGAGATGACTCCTCTTTCGAAGCGGAGATGCTCAACCGCTCCAGCGCTGCTGAGATGTACGGTTTCGACGACACAGTCGACGGTTGGGGCAAGGGACTAGAGGCGTTTTCAAACCGGACGCACTTTTTCAAGACGGCTGTCGCAGAGTACGACTACTACGATGAAAAGGAGAAGACAGAGTTTCTCTCAATCAAGAGCATCATGAAGAAACTGAGGCACGATTACGTGGACCTGATCAAAATGGATATCGAAGGGGATGAGTTTCCGACATTGGAGTCATTTTTGGGAGACTATGCGAAAGGTGGTGAGCTTGAGGGCAAGGAGGTTCCAGTTGGTCAGATGGTGATTGAGATTCATGTGCCGGAAAAGGGACCCAAGATCAGTCAGTTTGCGGAGTGGTGGGAAAGGATTGAGGAGGTTGGCTTCAGGCCTGTTTGGAGCGAGGCAAATCTCCTCGCTGTCACGGTGGGAGATGGAAAGCCGTGTTGTTTTGAGGTATGTCATGCCAGAACCTTTTGATTATCTTTTGCATTTGACTAACCCTTCTTTAACAGTACACTTGGATAAATAAGAGAGACAGGAGAGGCGTCATCTGAGATAGAGGAAACGAAGCTCTATGATAGCATCTTGCAACAACATGATGTAATGGAACTCTAGGGTAATGTTTGAGAATCCGTAGCTCACATATTAACAAAACTACTGGCATTTTAGAAGTCTATTCAAATAGAGGTGTCTTCGAAAGTACGATGACTGTCATTGCTTTCCGCCATTTACTAGAGCAACGCAGCTCTCTTGACTATCCGCTTTGCTCTTTTCTTTCGTCTCTTTCTCCTCATCTGTAGGCAAAGGAATCCAAGATGGGTCAAAAGACCTAAAGTATCGATTCATCGTTTCGTTAAGAGACTCGGGAAACGGGTATGCACGACTAATGGCGTTGAAAGAGGCAGGGGTGGAGGGAAGGGTCAGAGGGAGGTTAGGTCCCTTGCCTTCGACTTGTCGGGGTTGACTGGACGCAGTACATCGTCAGTATCTAAATCCAAGAAATTGGAATTGCTGTAGAGAATATTGGTTTCACCTTTCTTTCGAATTCGAATTCATTTTCAGTTAGGGATTTGACCGAAGCTTAAGATTGTATCAAGGTTGATGTGACGGTATCGTGGCCCGGGAGTTCACTTCTGGCCAACCTACTCTCGACATTGAATTGGGCTTTATATCTCTCACTCGAAATGAATTGCTGTTTTAAATACCAGGGACTCTCGAAACGGTCCGCATTGTTGAAGAGGACTCAAAAGGACTCTTTCTCTTTGTCGGATAGATGTTCCACGAGCAAATGTGAGTCCTCTTGAGTTAAGAGGACTCAGTCTTAGCGTCACGCTTCCCACTACCAAATATCATATGCATCTCGGAACTTCATTCATCCCCAGCGAAGATCGCGAGATCATCTGTAGTAAATCTAGCAGAACTATGTAAGTGCATGCACTAGCCATGTTTTCTTCGTTACATCGGTGTGTTGGCGACTCAGGATCTTGCAACTGGTTTCTCAAGAGAATGAGGGATTAAGATCAAGTGTCACTCAGCGACGAAGCAAATGCCTTGTCTGGAAACCAGGATCTCGGCGAAGCTTCTGATCGGCTCAACCCGCGCGCGTGTGCTGCGTTGGTGTGTCTAACAAGATCACCAATGACAGGGCAGCGTTGTGTCTGAGTGGTCCATACCCTCTTTCAGCTGGAATTTTGAGTCCTGTCTTCGGTGTGATATTCAGCCCGCATACTGTCTAATTGGTGGTAGATGGTCTTGGCATCTGCAAGCCACAGGACTCTTATTTGCCTGCAGATCCTGAATCCGCCCGAACAACACAGTACTTAACTACCAACCTTTCCCCTCAGGCACCGTCTCTCGTTTCTTTCAAAGCCTGTCAAAATCTAGACACCTTTTTTTTTAATTCTGTAAAGTAGACTCTCTTGCTTTATAGGACACTTTTACCCCGTCACTCTTGCCTTGCAAAAGGCGCTACCCTCCTTGTTTACTATTTCTGCCCTCAGAGGCCGCCGTCCGTCAGAAAGACGGCGGCCTTTTGACGGGAACCGATCGATCCTCGAAGAGCTTGGTGTGGAATCCTTTCCCCCGAAACACTCGTCGACTTTGATTGTGACCCGCCACCGCCGACTGGCCTAGCGCCGGAGCAACACGCACAACATCCCAGATGCTCGGGGCAGTCAAGGGCCTGGGATATCACATGTATAACATTACCCAGACCGCCAGACATTTTCGATTCCCATGACAACGATTTCATTGGGTATGTCGATGGCTGCCTAAGCGCAACTTTGCTCGACCATTTCGAGCGCGACGAATTTAGATTCGAGCAATTCTCGAACTTGACAACATCCTCGCTATTCAAGGAAAATAACAACACGCCAGTGCGTTTACCAACTTCGCCAATCGAAGGTACCGGACACAAACCCGACTTACTGCCGGGCCACTCAACTTCGCCATTCGAAGATAACAGACACAAACCTGTCAAATCATCGTGCCATTCACGAAAAAGATATACATGCCAACACAGCAGTTGCAGCTATTCCTGCGACCTGCCCAAAGATATGCGAAAGCACCGCCTCAAGCACCACAAGCCAACACAAGAAGAGCGCTACGCCTGCCCAAATAGCGGCTGCAAGAAGAGATTCCCCCGAAAGGATAATTGCCTCCGACACGCGCGGGAGTATTGCAAACATTCGTTCCCGTGAAACGGCCAGAACTGCCATCGATCTACGCAAGGCCATAAGCCTGTTGAAAAGGCATCTAGCATTTATACATTACTGGACGAACCTTGATAGTAATGTAGCATATGAGATCTGGTGGAGGAGGGGGGGACGGCAGTGGGGGTTAAACTAATGTACACCGACGACACAATATACCGAGCGTCACATCCCGAATCCTACAAACGAATATCATTCTCAATAACTAGTTGCGTTGTCCAATTCCAGTGTTCATCAGATGAGGCTGCAACTGCCTATGCAGCCTCATCTGATGATCATTGAAATCGGACAAGGTCGGTGGCCTAATTGAGAGTGTTATAGACTACAGGCGACATGGTTAAAAGACCACAACTATCTAAGAAAAGATGTAATTACTGGAGCAGTTTGCGAGCCTAGATCTATCAAATACAATCGTCCATCGAACGGACCCGAATTGTTTGTAATTTTTGTTTTGAGAATTGAACGAGAACAGGAAACCATGTAGTTTCTCTCGTAAATGTGATCCAGAGTGATCTATAACCGCCTTGCCAATATCGAGCAGAGCCTGGACGAAATCTCGGTCCAGACTAGTGACAACTAGGTGATAGGACATAGCCGACGCCCCTAATCCACCGGACGGCTTGGCTTCACATGTTGCTGCGCCAAAGGTCAGTACAGCCAATCAGTTTATAAATTTGTGACTGACCGCAGTCATC